AGTGGTTAATAATGCACGTAAGTATGATGATATTGGGCTATGCAGCCCTTTTATGTGGATCGTTATTATCAGTAGCACTTCTAGTGATTACATTTCGAAAAAACAGAAAGCTTTTTTATAAGAGCAATGGTTTTTTTAAACGAGTCATTTTTCTTGGGTGAAAATTTGTCGAAAATACTTCGTTTTTTTGTGCTCAAAATTATTACAGGTCCCAATTGATTCAACAATTGGATTATTGGAGTTATCGGGTTATTAGTTTAGGATTTACTTTTTAACCATAGGAATCCTTTCGGGAGCGGTATGGGCTAATGAAGCTGGGGTCCTATTGGAATTGGGATCCAAAAGAAACTTGGGCATTTTTACTTGGATCGTATTTGCAATTTATTTACATACTCGAACAAATAGAAATTTGCGGGGTCCAAATTCTGCAATTGTAGCGTCTATAGGTTTTCTTATAATTTGGATATGCTATTTTGGGGTCAATCTATTAGGAATAGGGTTACATAGTTATGGTTCTTTTCCATCAACATTTAATTGAATTCAAGACAAGTTATTACAAATACAAGAGCGGGCGACGCATTGTATGAACCAGCATGCGGACCGTGTGAATCAAATATTGTATTGATGATTCACACGGTTTTCTACCATATGTAGTTCAATTTCATTGTTTTTACTTAATTCTTAAGTTAAGAGAAGAAAAAAAGTCTTCTTTTTTTCATTGTCCAAGAATGTTTTTAAAAACAAACATAGGTTTTTTTATTTCAGTCATCCAATTATCTATAAAAAAAATTAGATAGAATAACTTCGACCTTGTCAACTGCTAATGAAAGAACGAAATCGGGGTATATACCAATACCTATTACGGGTAAAAAGATGGAGATCGAAAGAAATAACTCTCGCGGTCCAGAATCAAAAAAAGAATCCTTCGGGGCGTTAAATAGCTTGTATCCATAGAACATCTGGCGTGGCATAGATAATGAATAAATAGGAGTTAATATAATTCCAATTGCCATTACAAAAGTAATTAGTAGTTTTGGAATTAAAAGATATTTTTGGCCGGTAATTATTCCAAAAAATACTATCAATTCGGCAACAAAACCACTCATACCTGGTAATGCAAGGGAAGCCATCGAAAAGCTACTGAACATCGTGAACATTTTTGGCATTGGAATAGCTATTCCGCCCATTTCGTCAAGATAAACAAGGCGGATTCTATCATAAGTCGTTCCCGCCAAGAAAAAAAGTGCAGCACCAATAAATCCATGAGAGATTATTTGTAAAAGGGCTCCATTAAGTCCCGTATCGGTTAGAGAACTAATTCCTATAATTATGAAACCCATATGGGAGACAGAGGAATAGGCTATTCTTTTTTTTAAATTCCGTTGGCCAAGAGATGTTGAAGCTGCATAGATTATTTGTATTGTACCTATTATCATCAACCAAGGAGAAAATATAGAATGGGCATGAGGTAATAATTCCATATTGATTCGAATTAATCCATACGCTCCCATTTTTAATAAGATTCCGGCTAGAAGCATACAAGTACTGTAATGTGCTTCTCCATGGGTATCTGGTAACCATGTGTGTAGGGGGATAATGGGCGATTTGACAGCAAAAGCAATAAAAAATCCAATATAGAAGATTATTTCTAAAACCACAGGATATGACTGATTAACTGATGTTTCAAAATTTAATGTTGGTTCATTAGAACCATATAAAGCAACACCCAAAACTCCCATTAAGAGAAAAACAGAACCCCCCGCCGTGTACAAAATAAATTTTGTAGCTGAGTACAGACGTTTCTTTCCTCCCCACATGGCTAGAAGTAGATAAACAGGAATTAATTCTAACTCCCACATGATGAAAAAAAGTAAAAGGTCCCGAGACGAAAATGATCCAATTTGACCACTGTACATTGCTAACATGAGAAAATGGAATAATCTAGAATCTCGAGTAACTGGCCAAGCCGCTAAAGTCGCTAAAGTAGTGATAAATCCTGTTAATAAAATGGGTCCTATAGAAAGTCCATCTATTCCTAATCTCCAATGGAAATCAAAAAAATCGATCCATTTATAATCCTCTACTAGTTGGATTAATGGATCATCCGATTGGAAATGATAACAAAATGCATAAGTTGTTAGAAGGAGTTCTAAAATACATATACATATCGTATACCACCTAATTACCCTATTTCCTTTATGGGGAAGAAAGAAAATTAAAGAACCCGCAAATATCGGAAAAAACGACAATTATTGTTAACCAAGGAAAATAATTCGTAGTAAAGACAAGATACACTTGGACCAAAAAAACCCGTGCTCAAAATATTTTTATTTTCGAGCACAGGTTTGTCGGTAAAAAAATTAAATGGATTCAAGTAGAGTTTTCTCGAACGTATCAATAAGCTAGACCCATACTGCGAGTTGTTTCATGCCATAAATAAACTCGGACACTCAAGAAATCTGTTGGACAGGCGGATTCACATCTCTTACAACCAACACAGTCCTCTGTTCGTGGAGCAGAAGCAATTTGTTTAGCCTTACAACCGTCCCAAGGTATCATTTCTAATACATCAGTGGGGCAGGCTCGGACACATTGAGTACATCCTATACACGTATCATAAATCTTTACTGAATGTGACATTGGGTCTATACGTTTTTGAATGTTATAAATTTTCGATCTAGTAAACTTAGAAACGAATCATATATTTAGATACCAGATGAATCAATGAGTTATCATGATTTTCTAATCAACCCCTTTCTGGATTGGTTTATGAGATATGAGAGAGGCCAAAATACTTTGATTTCTTATGTTTTGCAAACAAGATCATACTTTACGTAGTAAACATGCTAATTAAAATTGATTTCTCAATATTAGAATCTAGATGATTAATATTAATTATTCAACAAATTTGATTGGTTGATACGAGTTGATTTTCTGTTACGGTAAATTGATGAAACAATAGCCAGGCCAATGGCTGCTTCAGCGGCTGCAATAGCTATAACAAAAATTGAGAAAATGTCTCCCTTTAATTGACGATTATCAAAAAAATCAGAAAATGTTACAAAATTTATATTAACCGCATTCAATATAAGTTCAAGACACATAAGGGCTCTAACCATATTTCGACTTGTGATCAATCCATAGATACCGATAGAAAATAAATAGGCACTCAAAACAAGTACATGTTCGAGAATCATTAAACAACTCCTTATCAATCTCGACTCCTTTCAATATGAACAACAATTCAACTAATTTCATTGACTAGTATATAACAAGTATGGAACAAAGAAATAGATTGGTACTAGATTGACCTAAAGTCTTTCTATTTATCCAGCTAGAATTCAAATAGAATTCAAGGAAAATTAATGTGATAAGACAGAACAAAATTTTATTTGAATTCCAAGTTTTAATAGAAATTTTTTATTGACGAGCTACAGCAATTGCACCTATTAAAGCAACTAAAAGGATTATGGAAATAAGTTCAAATGGGAGAAAAAAATCTGTTGATAAATGAATTCCAATTTGTTGACTATTACTTAGAAAATCTTGCTCTATAATCTGGTTTGATCTTGTAGTCCAAATAATCCCGTACCATGACGTATCTGAAATAGTAGTAATTAGTGAAATAAAAAGACTTATACAAACCATCGAAGTAATTCCATCTCCTACGGTCCAAAGATGAAAATCCTTGTAATATTCTGAGCCATTCATGAACATCACAGCAAAAATGATTAAAACATTTATAGCTCCTACGTAAATAAGTAGCTGCGCAGCAGCTACAAAATAGGAGTTAGATAGAATATAGAATAACGATGTACAAATAAGAACCAATCCCAAGGAAAAGGCCGAATAAATTGGATTGGGAAGTAATACCACTCCTAGACCCCCTAATATAAGACCCGATCCTAGAAAGACTAAAAGAAAATCATGTATTGGTTCAGATAAATCCATTTTTTATAAAAAATCAAAAACGAAGAATTTCATGACTTTATTGACCTGACCAGGAAAAAAGAAGTTTTTCTATTTTTTATGATACTTTGAAATTGTTAATTGAATGAAAGTCTAATGGGTATGAATTGACGTAGATGCTTTTATTTTATTGGACCACTATCCATTCTTTATTCGTCGAAAGAGTAGTTTAAACCTATCTATTTTTGATATCATTTATCTACTTTGAAACCATTACTATTATAATATATAATATTGAAATCGGTTTTGTTTTCAATCTAAATTAAGCTAGGAGTCTCATTAAGCAACCACTAGTTTGAATTGCCCAAGCAAAAATCTCATTGTTTTAGATCCGAACTAAGCCTTCGTAATTCGTAATTTTTTTGAATCGAATTAAGGGTTTATTCATTGTTTATTTGAGGTAAATTCGAAATTGTTCGAATTGTGTAATCATCAATTACTGACATTGGTAAGCGACCCAAAGCGATTTGATTATAATTCAATTCGTGACGATCATAAGTAGAAAGTTCATATTCTTCGGTCATTGATAAACAATTTGTTGGGCAATACTCAACGCAATTACCACAAAATATACAGATTCCAAAATCAATACTGTAATTAAGCAATCGTTTCTTTCGAATATCAGTTTCCAACTTCCAATCAACAACGGGTAAATCTATAGGACATACACGCACACATACTTCACAAGCAATGCATTTATCAAATTCAAAGTGTATTCGGCCTCGGAAACGTTCCGATGTGATCAATTTTTCGTAGGGGTATTGAATAGTTACAGGTAAACGATTTGCGTGGGACAGGGTAATCATGAAACCTTGGCCGATGTATCTGGCGGCTCGTATTGTTTGTTGACCATAATTTATGAATTCAGTTATCATAGGGAGCATATGTTGAATATCTATAAAAAAGATTTTATGCTTGTTTCTTTCTCTTGTTTGAGACAAGTCGTGAATCTAGGATATTGTGGTCTTTTACAGTGAAAGAAGTTGGGACGAGGTTGTCAATAATAGATTACCTAGAGAAATCGGTAAAAGAAATTTCCACCCAAGATTTAATAGTTGGTCCATTCTCAGCCTCGGTAAAGTCCATCTTGTTGCAATAGGAATGAACAAAAACAAATAAGTTTTGGCTAATGTGATAAAGATACCAATTAGTGTTCCAAAGACTTTACCCCCTTTATTTATGCCAAATAGCTCAGGAACAAATATGTACGGAATAGAAAGATTCCAACCTCCCAAGTAAAGAACTGTTACAAATAATGAAGAAACTAGTAGATTCAGATATGAAGCAATGTAAAATAAACCAAATTTGATACCTGAATATTCGGTTTGATACCCTGCTACTAATTCTTCTTCTGCTTCTGGTAAATCAAAAGGTAATCTTTCACACTCGGCGAGAGAAGAAATTAGAAAAACGATAAACCCGATGGGTTGACGCCACAAATTCCACCCCCAAAAACCATATTTTGACTGCGCTTCCACTATATCAACTGTACTTGAACTGTTAGATAATCATAGTCGATGATAACATCACTGTGCCCATCGCTATTCCAGAACCGTACGTGAGATTTTCACCTCATACGGCTCCTCAGAGGTCACAAATAAACCTAAGGGCCCTTTCCTATTCTTTATCTTGATATGTTTGTCAGATAGAGTCAAAATCTATCCTAAGGTCCCAAATTAGACCAATGGAATTCTGTCTGCTATATTTAAAACTAATAAATAAGTGCTTCTGAATTTATCTCATCTTTTAAGAATTTTAATTTTTCTTTGTTGATTAATAACCTTATCATTAAATAAAAAAATGTGCTTTATAGCAATATCACATATACATTTCAACCTCGAATTTTCAATTACGAAAAAAATTAGAGAGTACATTAGTTCATGAATCATGACAAAAATTTTATCTCTCTAAATAGAAATCAAAATTGAATTATAGGAAAGAAAGAATAAAAACAAAAAAAGAAAAAAGGAAGAAAAAAAAAAAGACATCCCTCCTTTTTGCTTTTGCAATTAGATTCTTTTCTTTCTATTTCGATTTTTTTATTTCATTCCTATTCTCCTTTCTCAGAAAAAGGGCCTTTAACCAAAGTAAAAGATTACTTCGTTCTTGATAGTTAGTTACTTACTCAGTGGATAGGAACATACTCTGGATCAGAATCATGGGGAGTACTTCTTGATCATTTCTACGAATGTAAAGCCCCAATTTGAATTCCTTTTATGTACAGAAATATCCTCTTGGATAACTTACATAATCTCAATTACTAATCCTTTGTGTATCTTGGTCTTCCTAACCATCCACTCATTTTTTGTTTCAAAAACCTCCCGTTGTGGAAATCCATCTATGGTAATAGACAGTAAAAAATCCATAGAGTTGGTCTTTTGAACCCGCTTCAAGCTATCATGACAATTCATGAATCTTGGGGTAAACAATCTCTCTTGCTTATGTTTACTTTTTTCACCATTTGATTCTTGTACATAGGAAATGAGACTCAACTTTTTTACTGCAAATTTAGAAGCCGTTTTCTTTCACTCATATAACTATCTGGTTTAGTTTATCAACTCAAATGCTGAAGAAAAATAAAAATATATATAGTCAATCAAATCTTTTTATCCTTGTTTCTAGAAAGAAAAGAATTTTGATAAATTTTAGGTCTCACCGAATCACACGTAGAGATATTGATAACACACATAGAGCTAATGGTATTTCATAACTAATTGATTGAGCAGCTGCCCGTAGACCACCTAAAAAGGAATATTTATTATTTGATCCATACCCCGACATAAGAAGTCCAACGGGAGCAATACTTGAAATGGCAATCCAAAAAAAAACACCAATACTAAGATCGGCTAGAACAAGGTGATCACCAAAAGGAATTACTGAATAACTTAGAAAGATAGATATTACTGCTATGGATGGCCCAATACTGAATAAACGAGTATCTCCTGTAGATGGAATAAGGTTCTCTTTCAAAAGTAGTTTTGTCCCATCTGCTAGAGCTTGAAGAATTCCTAAAGGGCCGGCATATTCAGGCCCGATACGTTGTTGTATTCCTGCAGATATTTCTCTTCTAACCAAACAATACTAGTACACCTATTGTGATTCCTAATACAAGAGTCACAATAGGGACAAGCATCCATATGATCCCATAGACTTCTTTTAAGGATTCCAATTTGGAAAAAGAATTGATAGTCTCTATTTCTGTTGTATCAATTATCATTTTCAACGATCAACTTCTCCCA